TCGATTTGGGAAAAACAACGAAGCTGAAAGCTGCCGACACTTGCCTCTCCTAGATTCCCAACCGTGCCATTTCCCTGGCTGCTTGCTCCTCTGGTTGGCATCCTTTCTAGATTTTTAGCGGCGTAGGTGTACTTTTTTATTTTTTATTATCACACCGGCCCCCCCCCGATTCCCCCCAAAGGGCGGGGGTGGCCCGAAAAAGAAAAACTTTCACCATCATTCACTCCACTGTTTGCCGAAGGGTGCTTTACCTACGTTTTTAAATGAACATTAAACCCCCCCTTCAGAGTGCAGGCACTGTACTTCCACTCCAGGACTCAAGTCCGGCCCTGCGGTTTTCCCCTGAATCCCTTCAAAAATGTTATTTTGTCCCCCCAAACGCACGTAAAGTTTTAAAAAACCATTTGTCTCCATTACTCCTATAAAAACACGCTCACGCATGCCTGCGGGAAGTCCAAGCCCTCGCACAAAAAAACCCCCTTTCCCCCCTCCCTCAACCCCTTCCTAGGCCGCCCCCTACCCCCCCTTCCTTCCACTACAGACTGATACCTTTGAAGTCATTCTGTTTCGTCCTTTTTTTCCATGTCCGAACCACCTAAAAACCCCTTTCCCAGCCCTTGGAAACAGTTTTGGGTAATCCGCACCTCCCCCAAAACTTCCAAACTAGAATTTCTGCTTATTTACACCACACATTGCCCTCAGACATGAATCTCCACTGCCTCCAGCCTTCTCCTCGCTGCAACATTATCACCCCCGCTTCACACCCATACAAGAGCGTTTGGGAAAACTATACCTCACTTCCCCCTTTTTTCCTCCCAGGACAAAGTTCTTTTTCCTCCACAGATCCTAATGCACCACCACCCTTTTTCCTCATCAAATTTTTATGATTACCTCTCTTTCTAGACCCTCCCCTGACCGTTCCACTCCCAAAAAATTGAAAAAACGTTACCTCCCCCCTTCTCTCCCTCCAATTGATATTCAATCTTTATCACCTATCTTTTTGTTATCCTCTTTAAACCTTCCTTTCCCGTATTCCCTTTAAAATTTTTTCTTTTGCACACCCTACCAAAAATTCTCCAAACCCAAACTCTGCAACTTCTTTCAGAAAACTCCCAAGAACAGGTATCAGCAAAGAGCGCTGTGACAACTCCCCCTTTGTGTGTGATTTTTATCTTTTTCTCAAGCCTCTTGCCAAAAAACCCTCGCATTTATTCTCTTACAAACCCCCTTTAAAATATATTAACAACCACGGTGACATCACACATCCCCGTTAGGCTTCCCTTTTTTGGGAAAAAAAATTTTTTCCCCTTTTTCCCCCCCCCCATACTCTAATTTGGCCCCCTATCCTCGTAAAACTCTTTATGCTTAAATAAACCCCCTCCTACACCATTACCTTGAAATCTGCCCCCATTGCCCCTATCCACCCTGTCTAGCCTTTTCCAAATCCAAAATGCAACAAGACCTCTTTAGCCCTTTTAAAAAAACTGTTCTTATTGTTTCCTTTTAAAAACCCCCCGGGCCACAAACCCCCCACCTTTCCTAAAGCCCCCTTGTCTCTGCTTCCATTTCCCCTCTTATCTTAAATTTTTTTCAAATTATCTCTCCATCCTTTACGGTACATCAACAGAATTTTCCCCCTATAATTTTTGACTCTCTTTTTTCCCCTTTGCCCTTTTTCAAAAAAACTGCTAAGCGAACAAAATAGACGGAAGTGGGGTTTAATTTACAATATATATATATATAATATATATATATATATATATATATATATATTATATATATTATATTTATATATATATATATTATATATATATATATATATATATATATATTTATATATTATATATATATAAAATATTTTTTTGTCGTGCCGAATAGGCAGAACTTGCGATCTTGGCTTAAATAGCAACGCTCGTCTTGCCATATAGGACAAGCGAAAATTTGTGTATGCAAAAATTTCGATAAAATCATTCTGAACCTAACGAAAAAAATATATTTCACTGTGTTTGTTTAGTATTAAATTATCGTAAACAAATCTAAAATATATTTAACTGGGTTAAGCTAAAATAAATTGTTTTTGTTATAATAAGGTTAGGTAAGTTTTCTAAGATTCTTTTGGTGCAAAATTAATTTTTTTTACATTAACATCAATGAAAAAAATATATCTTTAAATGTATAAGAGAAAATTTCAGAAAGGATTTAATTTTAAATGAGTTCTTGCTAATTGACGAGTTTTACATATTCGGCAAGACATATATATATATATATATATAATATATATATATATATTATATATATATATATATATTTATATATATATAAAATATTTATATATATATATATATAATATATAATATATATATATATATATATATATAAATATACATATATATTAATATATAATATATTATATTATATATATATTATATATATTATATATATATATATATATATATATATATATATATATATTTAAAATTATATATATAATATATTGAAAAAAAATAAAATATCGGAACTTACCTTGTTGCAGAAAAACTCTGATTAAACTACTGGCATTTTCCATGAAATGATGATCCTTGGAGAAGCACGCATGAAACATGTAATAAAGAGCAAGCAGTCCCAGCAGCGCCACCAGGGTGGCTGCCCACACCAGTGGCGCCAGGGACAGCAGGAAGTTCCAGGGATCGACTTCTGCCCGTCCACGACCAGCCAGGAGCTTCATGGATGCAATGTCAACCGGATAAGTGTAGTCGACCACCTCGTAGCGCACTGCAGTTAGACCGAATGGTCCTAGACCAATATCAGCCCCCTGTGAAAATATTCTCATTGTTATTGGCTTGTTCATCACTGCTACCGATAGTCACTGTGGCATGCAAAGAGTACATAATCTTTATTCCACGCATGTACACACCCTCATTGAAAGGCTATCTCCCACAACCAGCGAACCAGGTGCTAAGGGTTAACGATGAGGCCCGATCGTTCAATCAGTAACCAGGTTCCAGCCAATGAGAAGATGGTTTTGGAAATTGCAGAGGTGTTGTGGGTACCAGTCACCTGTCTTCCCATGTCATTCTCATTATAGAGCTGGTTGAGGCGTGGTCTGCTCTCTAGTGGCTTCTATTCTACCTTGCTTACCGTGGAGTGCACTAATACCTATTGTTGTACATAGTGTATATAGTGTACATACTTCTGTTCCAACTTGGTGAAAGATAATATAAATCTAAAGTTTTTCTGCTGTGTTTATTTTGCTCCCTTTACACCCAGGATAGCAGGCCTTTGGGACTCCTTGGTTGTAATATGGGGGCCTGTCCGGGAGCTGGAGCTGGTCTTAGAGCACGAGTTGAGTCTAGGGTGACGCTGGAAGCAGGAACATTGTGTACTTTGCTGTCTGGCATTGCATTAGCTTTGCCAATGATTCACAAACTTTGTGTCAATTGCCTTTCTATGGTCAGCCTTGCTATTGTATGATCGTTGACAGCTTTCTGCTAGCATGTTCGGTGTGCTTGCTTCACTACGGTCAATCTTGCTGTTGTGTGAAGATTTTCCAGTCAGCTTTGCTAAGCGTGTCTTGCAAATAATGCATTATGTTGGGGACGAGTATTCTGCAGTCATACTGTGCATAGCTAAGTGTGTCTTGCAAATAGCATGTTACATTGGGGTACGAATATTCTACAGTCATAGGGTTCATAGCAAATAACTTATACGTTGGGGTATGCCACCTAGACTAGTCAGATGTCTTGCGTCAGCATACACATTGGTAAACCTGCCTAAATTTTCATAAGAAGAACATAAGAACATAAAAAAGAAGGAACACTGTAACAGGCCTACTGACCCATGCAGAGCAGGCCCGTGGATTAGCCCAATGACCCTCCCCTCCAGATTAGCATTGTTGACAAATTGCTCATTCTGTTGGCATTGATTACGAACGCACTCTCACAGCTGCGCAGCTACGTACTCTTATAAGTATCAAACTTCGGGAAGAGGGGATGGCATATCAGACTCCTCCCTCTACAGGAGCCAGGAATAAAACCCTGATGTTCTCACAGGAGGAAATTGTTACATCAATGGAGCAAAATAGTCAGTCTCATGTAATACGGTTGTCTGATGGCGAATCAGGTGCATTGGCACTAGAGTTGGCAATAATCAATCTTGAGCAGGCTAGGGAACAGAGAGCAATTTGGGGGGGCCTGTCCGGGAGTTGAACCCGAGACCTCTCTTGGTTACCAATGGGAGGTGGGATCCTAATCCTGAGCCCTCTCGAGGTTGGGGTGTGGCATGAAAAGAGCACATAACCTTTATTCGGTGCATGTACACACCCTCATTGAAAGGCTATATCCCCCAACCAGTGAACCAGGTGCTAAGGGTTAACGATGGGGCCCCATCGTTCAATCAGTAACCAGGTTCCAGCCAATGAGAAGATTGTTTTGGCACTTGCAGAGGTTTTGTGGGTACCACACACCTGTTTGCCCTTGTCATTCCCATTCTAGAGCCGGTTGAAGCACAGTCTGTTCTCTAGTGGCTTCTATTCTGCCTTGCTTACCGGGGAGTGCACTAATACCTATTGTTGTAGAGTGTATATAGTGTACATACTTCTGTTCTAACTTGGTGAAGGATAATATAAGTCAAAAGTTTCTCTGCTGTGTTTATTTTGCTCCCTTTACCCCCAGGATAACAGGCCTTTGGGACTCCTAGGTTGTAATAGTCACTGACAGTGATTCCTTTGTTTTTTATCATTATTATTGACTGTAACCAGTCTGTACCTTATCAATATCACTGACAGTGACTGGTTTGTATTTCATTATTATCACTGGCATTGACTGATTCGTACTTCAGGAATTTATAGGCGAAGCAGTTTAAAAAAGAAGTACAAAAGGGAGTTAGAAAGGCTGCTGATGAATCAAAAACTAATCCAAAAGGGTTCTTTCAAGTTTATAGGACTAAGGTGAGGCAAAAAGTAGGACATCTGAAAACTGGGAATGGACAGCTGACGGATAACGTACTAGAAATGTGTTCTCTATTTAATGATTATTTTTTTGTCAGTCTTTACACAAAAAGACGTTAATGATATTCAAGAAATTAACAATCATTCAGTTCCTCGAGAACTGAAATACTAATATTACTGTCACGAGGGACATAGTTGTCAAACAGATAGATAAATAGAAAGAAAATAAGTCCCAGGGACCCGATGAGTTGTTTTCCAGGGTACTTAAAGAATGCAAGATGGAACTTAGCCAGCCATTAACGAGTGTGTTTAATGCGTCCATCCTAACTGGTGTTGTGCCAGAGATGTGGAAGATAGCTAGTGTAGTTCGTTTTTTCAAATCAGTGGATATGTCCATTCTATCAAATTACCCTCCAATAAGCCTGACGTCTATAGTAGGCAAATTATTAGAATCATTTATAGCTGATATTATTAGAAGTCACCTTGACCATAATTTGATTAATGAACCTCATGGGTTCAAGAGAGGTCGTTCCTGCCTGACAGATTTACTGACGTTCTTCAATAAAACATTTGAAGCAGTAGACAGTGATAAAGAATATGATATTGTTTATTTTGATTTCAGTAAAGCCTTCGAAAGAGTACCTCACAAGAGACTCTTAAGAAAAGTGGCAGCTGGTATAGAATGTAAGGTTCTAGCATGGATAGAGGCATGGCTTACCAATAGAAAGCAGAGAGTTTCCATTAATGGGGTCAAATCTGAATGGGGACTGGTCACTAGTGGCGTTTATCTGAAAAGTGGCAGATGAAGTTCAATGTGGATAAGTGTACTAGTCCTTGGTAATGAAAATTATCCTCGAAGTTATAATCCAGGTGAAGTAGAACTTGATCATACGGAATGTGAAAAAAGACTTGGGAGTCATGGTAAGCAGAAATCTAAAGCTAAGACAATAGCGCCTAAGTGTTCGCAATAAGGCTAACAGATTACTAGGATTTTTTCAAGAAGTATAAGTAACACAAGCCCAAAAGTTAGTTTACAGCTCTACACTTTACTAGTGAGGTCTCATTTGAATTATGCCGCTCAGTTTTCGTCTGCTTACTACAGGATGGCTAGAGATTCACTGGAAAACATAAGAGAATTATGACTAAAATGATGTACGGTATCAGGAATCTCCCTTATGAAGATAGACTTAGAGCCTGGAATCTTTACTCTCTGGAGAGACGTAGAATGAGGGAAGATATCATCGAAGTGTATAAGCGGGTGATGGGCATAAACTAAGGTGATATTAATAAAATACTGAGGATATCGAACCAAGTAAGAACCAGAAATAACCGTAGTCTTCACAACTACGGTGCTCTTCACACCAACTCCAAAGCTGAGGGACTGATTACCTCATCTTTTGTATATAGTTCTACTGTTTCAAATTACTTCCCAGAATCTGTATTGATAAAGTCACTAGATGGAGAAACGTATACATTAAAGATACCCAGATTTGCATATGTGTCTAATTTTCAGTCATTACACTGACGAGCAAATACAGTTACAGCTTCAGATACAACACTGATCAAAAATTTCCCGAGTAGACTCTTTGAAGCTAAAAACCTTAAGTAGCATGATGGATTAGACAAATACATGAGTGGGTGTGGGTGGGCGAGAGGTGTATGTGTTTATTTTAGGTTAATAGACCTGGAGCAGTGCTCCTTTCCTTTGCTCTTAAGTACACTCCAACTGCAGAGAGGACACTGATCAACATGTTTGCCACTGCAACAGCCGCAACACTGTTCAATACACACTCCATGTGCAGTCACAACACTAATCAATTTATATAGTCTTAATAGAGCCAAGAAAGTAAATTTAGGAAAATGATTCCGAAATAAAAATTTGTAGGATGAATGAAATAACTTTTAAAATGCATTATTGTGATGTACAATCAATTGAATATACGTTGATAAAATAATTATAATCATTCATTATCAATTATCAATATACTTACACAATGGAACACAAATATTTATGAAAAATGGCACGACAATCCTTACCTAAGTAACCAGAGACTAGTGGGTTTGTAAGATATATTAAATGTTACTTGATGTTCCTGGTGTGATGCTGTGTTATCTATCATTAGTTCATAATTTACAACTTGTCACAGAAGCGGCAGGTTGCCCTTATTCACGTGGTAGTGCCATGTCCCACTTACCCCTGCGGTAATGCCTGATTCCCCTTACCTCTGTGGTAGTGGCAGGTTCTTCTTACATCTGTGGTAGTGGCAGGTTCTTCTTACCTCTGTGGTAGTGGCAGGTTCTTCTTACATCTGTGGTAGTGGCAGGTTCTTCTTACATCTGTGGTAGTGGCAGGTTCTTCTTACCTCTGTGGTAATGGCAGGTTCTTCTTACATCTGTGGTAGTGGCAGGTTCTTCTTACCTCTGTGGTAGTGGCAGGTTCTTCTTACATCTGTGGTAGTGGCAGGTTCTTCTTACATCTGTGGTAGTGGCAGGTTCTTCTTACCTCTGTGGTAGTGGCAGGTTCTTCTTACATCTGTGGTAGTGGCAGGTTCTTCTTACCTCTGTGGTAGTGGCAGGTTCTTCTTACATCTGTGGTAGTGGCAGGTTCTTCTTACATCTGTGGTAGTGGCAGGGTTTTTCTTACATCTGTGGTAGTGGCAGGTCTTCTTACATCTGTGGGTTTGTGGCCCGGTTCTTTTTACCTCTGTGGTAGTGGCAGGTTCTTCTTTTCATCTGTGGTAGTGGCAGGTTCTTCTTACATCTGTGGTAGTGGCTGGTTCTTTTTTACATCTGTGGTAGTGGCAGGTTCTTCTTACATCTGTGGTGTGGTGGTTCTTTTTTACTCTGTGGTTGTGGCAGGTTCTTCTTACATCTGTGGTAGTGGCAGGTTCTTCTTACCTCTGTGGTAGTGGCTGGTTCTTCTTACCTCTGTGGTAGTGGCTGGTTTTTCTTACATCTGTGGTATTGTTTATCTCTTCTTACTTCCTCTTACTTTGCTTCACTTGGTTCATCCTGATGCTGGTTTTATTCTTCCACTTACCCCTGTGGTAGCGCTTGGTTACCTTTATCCCTGTGGCTATCCTTATACCTGTGGTAGTGCTTGGTTACCTTTACCCCTGTGGCTATCCTTACATCTGTGGTAGTGCTTGGTTACCTTTACCCCTGTGGTTATCCTCACCGTTGTGTTATTGCCTGTGTTCCCTCATCCTTGTAGTAATGCCTAAAATTAATTTATCCATGATTGGCCCTAAAAATTCTTTTCCTCTGGTTTTGTGCTTAACTTCGCACCCCTGTCCATCCTTAACATGTAAGTAATCTATCCTTTACCCAGTGGAAAGTAATTGTGTATTCTTACCCAAGGCTTGTAGTAACTTTTATCATTAGCCAAGTTGTAGTACTTACTATCATCATCCAGTGACAGTAAACTATGTTTCTCACCCCTGTTGTCATCCCCGCCCAATATGGCCTGAAGGTTCCGTTGCTTTCTTGATCCCCAGCTAGCTCGTCTGGACGCAATAGGTTTTTACCTTGGGAACACACAAGGTAATTTGAATGCCTTTCATTACATGCATTAAATAATGATGCATTAAATAATGTTACAGTGACTTGTAACGTTAAAAATTACTCTTAATGAAGTGTGTGTTATACTTCACTGAACACTGTTACCATCATTCACATTATCACAGTTTTGCCAGAGGCGGGCAGATACATTAGATCAGATGTCCCTCCACCCAGGGTAACTGGCTTCCCTGAACCCTTTCACGAAATATTACCTTGCTCTCTCTCCAACAGCTCGTCAGGACCCAAAAAATATTTGTCTCCACTCCTGTCCTGCATGCTCACACATACCTGCTGTACTTCGAAGTCAGTTGCACACACATAAAAAAACGTGTTTAACGCCTCCCTCCCTCATTTCCTAGGACTATCCCTACCCCCCCCCTTCCCTCTAATACAAATGTATAGACCTTCATCCTATATTTACCTATCCTTTCTACATGACGAAACCACCTGAACAACTCCCCCTTCGCCCCTTTCGATAATACTAAAAGTAACTCTGCACCTTTTTCCTAATCTTTAAACATGAATCTCTTTCCCTATTATTTACACCACATTGCCCTCAGGACACGACGTTCCACTCCCCCCAAATCCTCTCCGTTGCAAAAGTTCGTCAACCCCTGCCTTTAACCACTATGACTCATCATTCCCTTTGCTATAAAGTATAACCTTCTTTGTCACCAGAGATAACTTCATACATACCCAACCATTTACCTTATCAGTTCGAAGATTTCCTCGTTTTCATATAAAAATCCACCGACAACTCCACTTCAAAATTTAACACTTTCCCTTCCTCCATACTGTTCCCTCCAAATGAATAACCAATTTTCAGTATTAGGTTTCGATTCCTTCCTATTACCCGCTGGGCAGCGAGACAGTTGAGCGTAGGAAGTTCAATTTACAGTTCACGGTTCGACGCCTTCGTCACCTTTCGTTAATTCACACACACCACAACATTACACAATTTTTAAACAACATTTGAAGCAGGGCGACTACCGAGTTATGGGAAGACAGCCCTAATGGTTACTCCTAATTTTTCAAAATGGGACAAGACACCGGCCCAGCATTTAACCTACAGACCAGCGTTTACTGAGATACTTAGTATGCAACGGTCAAAGGAGAATTATCTAGCAGAAAATTGGTGGGAACCTAGGAAAAAAGTGGCTAATAAGACATCCAACACGGATTCTGGACGGGGAAATCCTGTGTGACAACCTTTGGAGGACAATTTACAAAGGTGACAAACCGTACGACGAGAGGGGAGGGGATAGGGAGACTGCGTTTTCTTGGACTAGGAACCGATCCTGTTTCTTGTATATGCGAATAACATGACAGAAGGAATCGACTCACAATTGTCCCTGTTTGCAGAAGATGTGAAGTTATTGATAAGAATTCAATCAGACGAGGACCTGGGGAACTACAAGAAAATTTACTCAGGCTGCAGGCCTGGTCCAAACTGGCTCCTGGAGTTCAACTCCACTAAGTGCAAAATCATGAAGATTGGGGAAGGGCAAGGAAGACCGCAGACGGAGTACAGCTAGGGAGTCAGAGACTACAAACCTCACTCGAGAAAGGATTTAGGGTTATAAACCCGGGCCCATCCCTGAGGAGCACTAAAACAAATACTGTGCACCATCGGAGCCTGCAAACCTAAGAATAGCATCTGACATCAGAATAGGATCGTTCAGGATCCTGTACACCGTGTATGTCAGGCCTATATTGGAGCATGCATCACTAGCTTGGAACCCACACCTTGCCAAGCAAGTAAGGAAATTAGAGAAGTGCAAAGTTTGCAACAAAGTAGCCCCCGAGCGGTTGTCTACGAGGAGATGTTAGGGAAATCGACCTAACGACTCTGGAGGACAGGAGGAATGGGGGGGGGGACATGATAACTACATATTAAACACGGAGAGGAATTAACAAAGGGGACAGAGACAGGATGTTCCGGAGATGGGATACAGCAACCAGGGTCACATTGGAGTTGAAGACGTAGATGAGTCATAGGGATGTTAGGAAGTATTTCATCGGTCATGAAGTTGTCAGGAAGTGGAACAGTCTGGAAAGCGATGTAGAGGAGGCAGGATAATAACCAATATGATAATAACCAGTGAAGAGGCGGGGCCAGGAGCTGTGACTTGTCCCTTCAACCACAAACAGGTGAGTACACACGCTCTCACACACAAATGACATCCTTTGCACTGTAAAGTAATGTAGAGTGTAGTGGTCATCATTTTGTGTAAGTGTGCAATTTATGTGGTATTGATTTTATCGTTAAATATATGTGGAAATGTTCAACCAGAAGGTGCCATTCAGCGCCTGGGGAACGAGACGCAGTCAAGTTCGTAACAAGAAAGAAGAGAAAATGTAAATTCTTTGGATCACGAGTGGCTCGCCAGCCTCATGGAGCCTCCCTCTCCCTGAAGGGGATACTAAGAGTTGGATAATTAAGCCTAGTGATATTAAAGTGATCATAGCCTAGTTGGATAGTTAAGCCTATTGATATTAAATGATCATAGTTTTAAATATGTTTGAATGTGCCATCTTTTACATATACATTCACGCAATTCAAGTAACAATAACATCAGCATATTTTTACTTACGTAAAGTTTAGGCCTTGAGCAATGTAATCATTGACGTTTGCCATGATTCCTTGAAACGTGATGCGCTTCTTGCCAGGCGCCTCCGGGTCGTCGAGGAGGACCAGGTTATGAGACGTGAACTCCACCGACACCACGCGCAGGTTGGGCTTGTGGGCAAACCTGTCAGTACAGTGTCTGTTCATATTTTTTTTACCTCTGAGTAGGTTTCACCCTTTTCTTCAAGATGTTACCTTGATTTTTCCTTATAACAATTTCCGTACTGTTTTTTTGAGTAACTTTAAAATTGGCGTTAGGCCTTCCGTACTAGAATTTCGAAAGTATTTTGAAGAAAGAACAGTCATTGGTCTTTTCAGTGATGATGTGAGAGCACGAATACCCATAAAAAGTGCATAGTAGACATTTTTTCTCTAGAATTATGCATGGCCATCTCAATAAATATTAAAATGTTCCAAAAATATAATTTATTATTCCGTTACTGAATTTAAAATGTTTACAAAATAGCGATAAGAATATAAGTTTGATAACTCACTTGGAGAACTTATGAGGGAAGAGTGGTAGGTGGGATGTGAGAACAAGGCCTCGTTGTGGCGTCCAGTCCGCTACCTTCACTGCCGGGGAGCAAGGCGCACTGTATGGCAGATATATGTACAAACTGGACCTGTCCGGTGAAACTTAATGTATTTTATAGTGAATTATTAATGCATTTATTGAGGAAATAAAGTACCGAGATTACTTAAATAAGAAGTATATATATTGTTGGCTAAGTATTTGTAAGGACTTGTGAAGAATCTTATGATATTTTACCATCAAAGTCATCAGAGTTAACCACAAATGACTATGATCATGATATTAAGATGATTACATTAACAAGAACACTGGTATGACCTAAGTGTGTTCGAGTTGCTGTTGACAAGCAACATGGCATTCTTCAGAGAGAAAGTCTTCTGAAGGCTGTCCAGCTGAGAGAGAGGTAGACGGGTGACAGCCAGGAGCTTCGTCTCAGCAACGAGAAGGCTGCTGTTGTAGGTTATGTTAGCGAAGGCGGTAAGGAAGGCTGGATCATCACTCGTTACCACTACTGTCACGTGCCATGAAACTCGTCGTAGCTGAGGAAGCGTCAAAACAAAATTACTCATAAAAAAGTGATGTGAAAGATGTGAAAGTAATTTTCTTGATATAGTTTACGATATAATTTTAAAATCCTATACAACGCTGTAAGGAAAAAAAAAGATTTTGCGTTTTCTATGACTGCATAAATTTAAAAAAATCAGGCTATTCAAAGTTTTAAAAAATTTTGGCAGCTGAATATTTTGGAGATCATCGTAACCTGTCCAGGATGTTGAGAATGAATTATTTGTTCACTGCCAACTGCAAATGTTAATTGTTCCTAGACTCTAGTCCTCGTTACTGCATCCAAAATTTTAATCCTACGAAATGAGTGGATTTCCAGTTATGAGGGAAATAATACCGAAAACTAAATAGATGGAAAAAAACCCAGCCAACCACTTAAAAGGAATCCCACTGGTGAAAAGTTATAACAACCAGATAGTATTCAGTAACCACTATCTTGTATTAATCTATTTTTGTGTTAATGTACAGAATACAAAAATTATTCTAGTGAATGATCACTTGTTCTTACTAAAATTTCTAGAAATTATACTCTAAATATAGTCTCTAAGCAGATTTCAGAAAGTGTGTTAAGAGACACGATGAAGAATGGGACTCTCGCTTGCAATTATTGCATATTATGAGAAGGTTTAAAATTGTAATGTAAAGAAAACCTTTATCAGTAATATGAGAGGAATTGAAGACAAGGACTTAATCAACTGGAAAAGTTTATTGTCCGATAAATTTTGCACTTTACTTACGAAATTTAAAGCTGAATAACCTACCCTCTGAGCCTGAAAAAGCAACCGGGAAATCTTCATATGGGAATCATTGGTGCTCTTGATGCCATCTGAAGCTTCGAAAATTCCAAACAAGCAGAAAGTTTTCAGTTGTCGTATTACCTAATAAATCAAAGAGATAATTAAATTTTATATTAAAAAAAATCAAGAGTTATAAATTCTCCATAATTACAAAATTTTTGAAAACCATTCTACATTACCGCACCTTAGCAAAAGTAAAGGGAAATGTTGGGGCATCTGTGATGAGCAGCAACGAGCATCGGGTGTCAGACACAGGAGACAGCACAGCCTTAAGTGCTCCAGTCGATAATAACAGAGTGTTATCGTCGTCTGAGAAAAAATGATGATTATTTAAATATATATATATATATATATATATATATATATATATATATTTATATTATATATATATATATTATATATTATATATTATATATTTATACTATATTATATATATATATATATTTATATATATATATATATATATATTATATATATATATAATATATATATATATATATTATATTTAACAAGTCGGCCGTCTCCCACCGAGGCAGGGTGACCCAAAAAGAAAATACTTTCATCATCATTCAACACTCACCTCACTCACACATAATCACTGTTTTTGCAGAGGTGCTCAGAATACAACAGTTTAGAAGTATATACCTATAAAAATACACAATATATCCCTCCAAACTGCTAATATCCCGAACCTCTCCTTTAGAGTGCAGGCATTGTACTTCCCATTTCCAGGACTCAAGTCCGGCTACATAAAAATAACCTGTTTCCCTGAATCCCTTCACTAAATATTACCCTGCTCACACTCCAACAGATCGTCAGGTCCCAAGTACCATTCGTCTCCATTCACTCCTATCGAACACTCTCATGCACGCCTGCTGGAAGTCCAAGCCCCTCGCCCACAAAACCTTCTTTACCCCTTCCTTCCAACCTTTTCGAGGACGATCCCTACCCCGCCTTCCTTCCCCTACAAATTTATATGCTCTCCATGCCATTCTACTTTGATCCATTCTCTCTAAATAACCAAACCACCTCAACAAACCCTCTTCAGCCCTCTGACTAATACTTTTATTAACTCCACACCTCCTAATTTCCACACTGCGAATTTTCTGCATAATATTTACACCACACATTGCCCTTAGACAGGACATCTCCACTGCCTACAACTGCCTCCTCGCTTCTGCATTTACCACCCAAGCTTCACACCCATATAAGAGTGTTGGTACTACTATACTTTCATACATTCCCTACCTTGCCTCCATAGATAACATTTTTGTCTCCACATATATCTCAACGCACCACTCACCTTTTTTCCCCTCATCAATTCTATGATTAACCTCATCCTTCATAAATTCATCCGCTGACACGTCAACTCCCAAGTATCTGAAAAAAATCACTTCTTCCATAGTCTTCCTCCCCAATTTGATATCCAATTTTTCTTTATCTAAATCATTTGATACCCTCTTCACCTTACTCTTTTCTATGTTCACTTTCAACTTTCTACCTTTACACACACTCCCAAACTCATCCACTAACCTTTGCAATTTTTCTTTAGAATTTCCCATAAGCACAGTATCATCAGTAAAAAGCAACTGTGACTGTTCACATATATGCTTCAATGTAAACACTTGATCTACACATCCCCTACCCACTGTGAAACCTCCTTGCTCATCCGCAATCCTACATTCTGTCTTACCTCTAATTCTTTCAATTATAAACCCTACCGTACATTTTCTGGTTACTCAGTAAAATTATTCCCCTGTAATTTTTTCAATCTCTT